GTGCGACACTCCTGGGCTGTTCTGCTGGAGGACTGTGTCATGCTGGCTTTCTGATGAACTTTGGAGGAGCTCTGATCCTCATCTTGAGCATCACTTCCTGGCTCTGGATGGGAAGATGGTGCCCTGCTCAGCCTCATGAAGAAGCTTGTTGCATTGGCTTTCCTGATGGGAACTCAGTTTTCCTCATTCCTGGAGGAGCTCAGGACCTCTCTGTTGCTGAGGATGGCTGTGGTTCTTTTGGAGAGCTCTGGCGCTTACCTTGAGCATTGCTTCCTGATTCCAGTTTGGATCCTCAGCCTGCTAGCACAGATCCTACATCCCACTGGCATAGGCTTTCTAGCTTCCACCACTGACCTTTGGGGCCTTTCTAGCATAGATCCGTGAAGTAGGATCCAGGCCCTCAGCTGGGTTCTTAGTGTGTGAATAGATTTCCTGCACTTGTTGTATGTGGTTCTTGGGTGATTCATTATAAAATAATATTGTAAAATGTGTCCTGTATTATATTGTTCCCCTTGTAAAAACCCCAAACCATGACAATGCTCCAGAAGGATTTGCTACATTTGAAGATTAAAAATTAACTTGGTTATTTTGCAAATCATCTGTGGTTTTCTTTTTTTTGACATGACAAAGCAAAGGCATTTATTACAAGACCATTCTTGTGCCACACTGGAAAAGATGTCCATGAAAATGGATGTGGATGAGGACCCTCCTTGGGGTTTATGTCCTCTGCAGAGTATGGGACATCCTTTGTCACTGGTCAGGTTTGTACCCTCCCTCATCACCTGAGGCCACTACAGGCCATGAGGCACTCCATAAAGTAGCCTTCTTCTTGTATCCAGCCCCCATCAACAACATTCTGCTTTCAAAGCAAAAATAATCCCTACTCCCACAAGGGTCCAACTCACCCAAACCAACACAGATCTCTGCTACTGAGAGTTCTATGGGCCATAGAGAGGCCTTTTGGGTGGAGTGGGGCCACAGGGCACCAGGCACTAGGTGGGGGTGTAATGGGCCTGGTGCTCCACCAGCATCTCCATGCTCCTCACATCTGTGCACCAGAACCCCGGGCGGTCCTTCATCCCCTTGATCTGCTGTAGATCTAGCATGCGGTGCTGCACCCAGATCATGTGGACTCGCTTGTCGACCTCCTCTATGCTGCCTCTCACCAGCTGCACAGCGAGTGCTTTCGTCACCAGCAGCTCTACCTCGTTCATGGTAATTTTAGCACTTCTGGCAATTTCTTCAAAAGCGAGCTGTCTGTGGTTGGCAGGTGTTGTGAGAGCCATCTCCATCAAACACAACAACGGAATCTTCTGTAGAAGCTGGGTTTCATTGGCAGCTAAGTTAGGCTGGTGGCCCCAGGCAGTCTTCAGAGTCTGGAACCTGTCCACATCAGCACTACTGAAGGCCTAGAGGGTGACAATCAGCCACTG